TCCATATTAGTGTGCTTTTTTTTAAAGCCATACACAACTTTTACACAATAAGGAAAAGAAATCTGTTTAAAGTCAAGTAGTTACAGCTTAATTAGTCAGACATTTTGTTCTTGTTTGAGAATAAAATTGTGTGTCCGCTTTGGTTTTAGTTGTCACTTTACCAGAAGATTCAAGTCATACCCATGAAAATTATCAGTGAAGTTGAAATAAATGTCTGTTAAGATAACTAATATATCTAAGGTTTATCCAGGTTTGATTTGACTTGGATACTGCATGTATCTGATAAAAACCATTAAGCTAAAAATTGTTTTCATGTTAAAAAAAATTGGAGTGAGGAGACAATACTTGGTTATCTGATCATAGTATGAACTATAGTAAAAATAATTAGGTAACAGTGAAACAAAAATGAATGTACTATCATTTGTCTGCCAACAGACATAGATACCATTTTGAAGACTGAAATGTAGATAAATCATTAAGGATATGTTTGACTATCACTTCAGCCATAGCCAGTAATTTGCAAATAGTCAATTTTGATAGTAGAAAAAGGTCAAATCTGTCAGTTTTGGAATTTGTGGGAAGACAGTTATCTTTTACCACCTTTATTTTTATTTATTGGGAATGTTTAACTTACATAGTAAATTTAAATGTATATTGAATTATGGAAATTGATAGAACGTTTTTGATAAGAAGTGTCCCTAGCCTTGGTCAGTGATGTTTCAACTTAACCAAACTCTCAGACTGCTTGAATTATTCTTTTCAGAGATAAGATGGCCCAAAACATTCCATTTATTTGGTGAGATTACTGGAAAGTGCTCTGAAAAGAAGGCCAGATTAGGTTTAACTGTCTTTCTTTGGCATCCCTTTAAATACATATGCATAACTGGCTTTATGTTCAATAGCAGTCATTAGGATGTCATTCTAGTTGCTACAAGGAGTTAGAGGAGCAGTAAATTAATCTCTAGATCAAATGATTGCATGTCCATAAGACATAGATCTCCTTTTGCAGATGACTTGACTGTTGATCTCAGCTATGAGAAGGGCATATATTCTGCTGCTAAACAGAGAAGTAAGCTTTTCTTCTTGTCAGAAGTAAGGAGAAAAGCAAAATATTTTGATGCATTTTACAACCAGTACACTCTCCCTTGTTTATCACTCAAGAACTGAAAAAGTGTAAGAGGAGTTCATGTATTTGTTTTATAAATCAGGTATAAATGTTAATAGACATTTGTCTTTGTCTGGACCAATGCCATACTGTTTGGTATGAAAGCATGCTTCAGTTTGTTAAGTATAAAAATGAATCTCTTCTCTTGAAATATGTACATTCGTGAGTAGGATATTTTGATATGCTAACCTGTTAGCATGTGTAAACAAGAGCAGAAGTAAACAACATATGCTAAAGACTTACTCAAATGCAAATGGCTTCTTTGTCAAAAATCTGTACCAAGTCTTAGCTGGTCCCCAGATCACAGGTAATCAGTCCCTCTTAGACATTATCAGTGCCATGTATAATTATTACAGCTTTGCATGAAATACTTTTTCTAAGTTGAAGAGTTCTTAGTATTCAGATTTCATTTACATTTCATAACTGTTAATAATGATAAATAGAAAAGGAGTTTAATTATAACAGAAGCTTTGATTTTGAAATTCCAGGAAATTATAGTAAAATTTTGACAGTGAATGATTTTTGTTGTTGCTCTTTTGTTTAACTGAAGTGCTATGACAGCTTTGCTTAGGAGTTGCACAGTCAAGGCAAATACTGATTTTAATAATCCATTGCTTAACCTATGTAAACAGATACCATTTTGGGGGATATCAACGCTCATAGCTGCAAAAATCAGAATCCATTTTAGCTAATTTACATAGAAAATAAATCTACTAGTAGTATATAAACTCCCTGAAAATTTAGCCAAAGATCTTGCCTATCCATTCAATGGTACTTTTCTAATGAAAACCCACTGTGGCACTATTAGCCAACTGGTCTGCTAGGAACAGAGATAAGATGGCCCAAAACATTCCATTTATTTGGTGAGATTACTGGAAAGTGCTCTGAAAAGAAGGCCAGATTAGGTTTAACTGTCTTTCTTTGGCATCCCTTTAAATACATATGCATAACTGGCTTTATGTTCAATAGCAGTCATTAGGATGTCATTCTAGTTGCTACAAGGAGTTAGAGGAGCAGTAAATTAATCTCTAGATCAAATGATTGCATGTCCATAAGACATAGATCTCCTTTTGCAGATGACTTGACTGTTGATCTCAGCTATGAGAAGGGCATATATTCTGCTGCTAAACAGAGAAGTAAGCTTTTCTTCTTGTCAGAAGTAAGGAGAAAAGCAAAATATTTTGATGCATTTTACAACCAGTACACTCTCCCTTGTTTATCACTCAAGAACTGAAAAAGTGTAAGAGGAGTTCATGTATTTGTTTTATAAATCAGGTATAAATGTTAATAGACATTTGTCTTTGTCTGGACCAATGCCATACTGTTTGGTATGAAAGCATGCTTCAGTTTGTTAAGTATAAAAATGAATCTCTTCTCTTGAAATATGTACATTCGTGAGTAGGATATTTTGATATGCTAACCTGTTAGCATGTGTAAACAAGAGCAGAAGTAAACAACATATGCTAAAGACTTACTCAAATGCAAATGGCTTCTTTGTCAAAAATCTGTACCAAGTCTTAGCTGGTCCCCAGATCACAGGTAATCAGTCCCTCTTAGACATTATCAGTGCCATGTATAATTATTACAGCTTTGCATGAAATACTTTTTCTAAGTTGAAGAGTTCTTAGTATTCAGATTTCATTTACATTTCATAACTGTTAATAATGATAAATAGAAAAGGAGTTTAATTATAACAGAAGCTTTGATTTTGAAATTCCAGGAAATTATAGTAAAATTTTGACAGTGAATGATTTTTGTTGTTGCTCTTTTGTTTAACTGAAGTGCTATGACAGCTTTGCTTAGGAGTTGCACAGTCAAGGCAAATACTGATTTTAATAATCCATTGCTTAACCTATGTAAACAGATACCATTTTGGGGGATATCAATGCTCATAGCTGCAAAAATCAGAATCCATTTTAGCTAATTTACATAGAAAATAAATCTACTAGTAGTATATAAACTCCCTGAAAATTTAGCCAAAGATCTTGCCTATCCATTCAATGGTACTTTTCTAATGAAAACCCACTGTGGCACTATTAGCCAACTGGTCTGCTAGGAAGTGGACACCAGACACTGCACCCCACTGCCAAGACCAATAAATGCCTTCTTCACTATTTGTGCTGAAAGGCTCCACCTCCCCAGTGTGGCTGCCATCTTGCATTGGTCACTTCTACATGTAAGACATATTTCTGCTTGGTAGAACTTAGGTCACATACCTGCCGCCTAGCTGAAGAGGAGTCTAGGGATGGGACAGAGGAACTTCAGATTTTGTGAGAGTGTTCAGAAATGCTAGGCAACCCAAATAATGGATAGTCATCCTGCTTGTTTTATGATTCATTGTCCAAACAATCAAATTAGTTTGTCCTTCCTTGTGTCATGCTATTAACATAGTCTCTTGTATTTTGCTTTTAAACCAAAGTTTTGCTTTACATGCACAGGCATTGAGTACATCTGGAATATATTTGTATGAGATACACATGCACTTATATGTGCATGCACATGCATATTTGGAATTTTCTCTGCTGTTCCATTGGCTATGTCTTTGTCTGGACCAATGCCATACTGTTTTAGTTACTATAGTTTTAAAATATACTTTATATCTAATAAGTTTCTCAACCCTCTTTTTCTTCCTTAAAATTTTCTTAGTGATTCTTTAATTTTCCTTATAAATTTTTAGATCAGTTTTCAAGTTCTATAAACAAGCCTGTTGGAAATTTTATGGGAATTACACTAAACAAATAAATTGGGTAGAATTAACATTTTACTAAAATTTATACTTCAATTTATTAGGGTTTTCTCTTATGGCCTACAGTAATGTTCTCTAAGTTTTGCCATAAAATTTCTGTCCAGTTTTTCTAACTTAATTCTTAGATACTTACAGTGTTAGCTGGTAGATTTTTTGGCTGTTATGACTATTTTTTCTTGTATATTTGCTATTTGGTTATCATTGGCATAGAGAAATTTTATATAATTGATTTTAATGTGGTTGATTCTGTATATGTCTTGCAAAATCATTAGATTTTCATGATTAATAACTTCTTGGATTTCCCCTAAACATTCGAATTATGTATACATCTCAAATTTTAGTTTTTATTTCTCTTTCATGTTTGTTTATTTTGCCAGAATCTTCATTGTAAAGTTGCTTAAGAGGGATAAAGATGGGCATTCTTTTCTTGGTCTTGACCTAAATGGGAGCACCTTTAAAGGGTTGACATTTCATTCTGGTAGATGTATTTTATCAAATTAAGGAAGTGTTCTTTTATTCCTAACTTTTTGTAAATGGTTTATTTAAGAATCAAAATCAAAGATTTTCTTCAGGATTTAAGATGGAATTAAAAAGAAACACAACTGTATTTCTTTACATACTTTCCAGCTTTGATACCTGAATTTATTGTTAATTTTATCTCAAAAATAATTGAGTAGTTTGTCATTATCAGGGATATTGAGATAATACTGCTGTGTCTCTAGCACCCAAAAGAGGACCTGGTGCATAGAAAATTACTATTTGCTGCTGAATGAGTATTGAATTACTTTTTCAGATTTCCAACTTAAATTTTCTTTAAAAAAAAATCTTTTCTTTTTATATGTAAAGTCACCTTAGATGACACCCATCTGATTTTCACTTTTAATAATTATGCTTTCTCTGTATTATGTTATGTTTATTATTTGTTATATGGTATGTTAATATGTCCATGTTTATTAATAGCCTTTTTTTCCCCTCTCCATTGTTTGTATCATGGGTAAAATCCAAAAAAGTCTGTTACTGAATGTAGTTTATTTTCAGATATTAATTTCTTTTTTAACTGGATAAACTTTTCCTGTTGTTTAAATGTAGCCCAACCTCAGCGCTTGCCCCAGCTTCAAATGTCAGCACAGGAACCAAGTGAGGAGGAAATAGTGAAGATAAAGAACGGCCACACAAGTCTGAGCAATGGAAATGGAATTCACCATGGAGCGAAACACGTATCTGCAGATAATCGAAGACTTTCAGCGCCTGTTACTCAAAAAATGCATAGAAAACTTCAGTCCAGCTTGTCTGTAAACAGTGATATCAGTAAGAAGAGTAAAGTAAATGCTGTCTTTTCCCAAAAGACAGGCTCTTCACCTGAAGGTAAGTTTGAGATCTGTGCATATTTTATTTGACCGTATGTAAAATCATATTCACTAGTAATTATTTGATCAAGAAAATATAAATGAAGAACCTTCCTTATCATTCAGACAAACAAGAATTTTGGTGAAGTGCAACTTTCCTAAAGGAAAGCACAAGCTAGGAAAGGAAGCGCTGGCAGCCAACATCCTGCTTTAGATTATTGTCTTCTAGAGTGAATAGTTATTACTTTAAATATAACTGCTATACTTATTTTTTAATACATTCAAAAATATGAATGCAACATTTTGGTGGCTTATGAATATATGTATTTTTTTCTCACCCTGATTTAATGTTACTCTGTGGTTCAGAGAT